TAGACTATAGCTCATATAATCCTATAAGGCGAAGAGTCCTCTCTGCCAAGTGGCGCCGCCTGGGTGTCAGCCAACCGTGGCTCAGAATGAGGTACTCACGCAGGAGTTGTCCTGATGCAATATAATATACCAGAATATACTATAATGTACTATAATGTACCCCGCAATAGCTGCTCTAGGCAAAGCATGCCTATTGACCTATTGAGCCTTCCTGTCCTGTCTGGAGCTGTAGCTGAAGGTAGCTGTGTGCCGCATAGGTCTTGGCCTCTCATAAACGGCATGCAGAACTTGCATGTTCAATTTGGCGACACATCCTCCCCCTCACTAGCCAGTGCAAGAGGTACCAAGGCCTTTTACTGCAACTGCTTATTGCTTTTGCTCCTGTTGCAGCCAGGTTTCAGCCAGAATCAAGCCGGAGCTTGGCACGTCAAGGCGATGGATGAAGCCAAAATCGCGGCTGGCATCAAAGAAGATCGGGCAGTGGCCAGCCTAAGAGCGGACGCGACTTCTTTGGCAATTCTAATGCTACTATATCGAGGCACTAGACCTGATTACCGAGAGCCTTTTATGTGGTTGGAGCTTGCTCCGCCCAAACCTCGAAACCCCTAAACTCCTCATGCGCCCCCCTCCCTCATCAGCACGAATTGAGTGTGCGATTCTTGCCCTGACCATCACAGCCGTCACATGGAGAGGCTCCAGTGCTTGCCATGTGGAACCTCTTCTGGTTCGCTTGTCCTTCCTGATCTAGGGTGGCTGGCTGGGGCAATTGTCTGCACAAACAATCTGGCGTTCAAGATGTGCGGAGCGTAGCACTAGTGGAGTTCTTGTTGCATTCTGTGTAATCAGGTTACATACTAGATCTAATTCCAAGCCGGGCACCCTTTCAAGAAGAACGTCCCGAAGCTGACGAGGCCCGTGTCCATCGTACACCTGTTCCAGCAAATTCCAGCATATGGACATGGCCGCTCGTGCCGTGCCAAGTTGATAGCAGTACCCCTTGTGCACACGTTACATGACGGACAAGCTTAGTCACTGCCGACCATTCGGGGCGGAAGCAATGTTCTTTCTCAGCAGGTTGCAGCCTGAGGATCTTTGCAAGTTGTTGCTACCGCGCTTTCAGTTGAAAAAACTCGCGCTGACTGCAGGGCTAAGTCCTAGTCCTAGCAGCCCCGGCCTCCCAGCCAACTGGCTTCTGCAAGACCACTGGGTCAGGCCTGGGCGGGGCATCAGCAAACCATTGAGTACTCCATAATATGGTAGTTTCCCAAAACAGGGGGACCCCAATATAGACCCCCAAATACTATAGTCCTTATTATGGGGACCCCCAAAAAGGGTACCCCTAATTTTGGGAAACCCTAATCCCTATGAAACCCAGTTTCCATTTCATTTTCCATTTTCTTTTCCATTTGATTCTCCATTATACCCTAAAGTACCCCTAATTTTGGGAAACCCTCATATAATCCGATTATAATAGTTTCCATTTTATTTTCCATTATCCCCATATAATCCGATTATAAACCCAAAAACAATCCCTTCTTGACAACTTGAAGTTGAGCCGCCCTGGAAGGCTGCGAGGAGACTCCTCATCCACTTTGTGGCAGGCCTGGTGACAACAGCTAAAAAGGTCGCGCACGCTGAGGAGGCATAGAATGAAAGGCCTGCTTCAAACATCTTCAAACTGTACCTGATTTGCCCAAGGATCTTTGCAACCCTGTCATCCAAACCACAACGTGGACTTAAAAAGCTGCAACAAGCATACGTCAAACCATTGAGGTTCACCTGTGGCCCTGCCTTCACGAACTGCTGACGAAGTCGCACGGGAAGCAAGCCGACAGAGTTCAGTGCTCGCACTACGCCAAGCAGGTCCTCCACCAAGCTTAGATTTTGGAGAAATTGGGAGCAAAAGTTAGTCTCAACCGGATTCCCGCAAAAGGAAACCTCAAAACCCTCTCACCGGTTTGGCACCTGCACATTCAACACAATCTGCAATTTACCCATACTCAGTTCCAGAAAGCACTGCAAGATCAGGTTTTCTACGCGAGGGCACTGATCCGTCTGCAAGTGTGCAGGGTCACATTGATCTGCATCCGGAGGTCGTGCTGAATGAGGGGTGGTATGGTCTTATGGCTCCAGTCGCGATGAATGCCTTGCGTCTGCGGCTGGAGATCGTTGAGGTTCGCTTCAAACCTACAAAACATGCAACTGGCCCAAGGTCTTGCCCAGCATACCTCGCTGCTTAGTCGCCAATGTCGCCACTCCGTTTCATGTAGTGCTCATAGGCAGCATGTGTCAACCATTTGAAGGATCTAGATTACGACGCGACTCTGAACGGTAAATCACGTATGACGATATGCCTTTGGAATCTCAGCAGCAGTGAATCAGTGGGGCATGACTGAGGAAGCCCTAAAGTCAGTGTTGCCGGCAGTCAAACCCCAGTCACAGCAACCGGCGGAAGATAAGATTAATTAAGACCGCAAGGCTAGAGGATCGTATGCTTTAAAATACTGGTGGCGAGGATTCTACAGTAAACCCGATGTCCCTTAGTGACAACCAGACACCCCAAGGCGCCAGTCCATGTGTAGAACCTCTTGCCCGCGGCTGCTCACTTTGCGACAAGTGCCCGTCCAGACATAGCGGGTTGTAAGTTCCTCAACTGGGGCTTCTCAAGAGGAAACCCTGAAGACGAGATGCGATTGAGCGCTCCCGAGACATGTTGAGAAGGCTCAATGGTCTTCAACGGCCAATGTCCGGACCACCACCGCTCGCTCCTTTACACTGCCGCGTTGCCAGCGAAAGTTAATGGACAACTCTTCAAACAGGGCAGAGAATGAAAAAACCAGAGCACAACGCCACCAGCGCGAATCAGAGGGAAAGTAAAAGGCATCTTAGGATCATAGACTGGCCGAGCGCTCGGAATGTGGCTTGGAGGCTTTGGTCTGAGCACTATCATGCCTAAGTCTGGCTGTGATGATGCATAAACCCATGGCAGCACTTAGGCGGGCGTAGGGCCGCCATCTTGGCAACGTGAACTTTCGTGAGCATGAGGGACGTGCGAAGTGCGGTTATGAGTTGCATGACTGTATGTAATTCTCATGGTGTCGTCAGCTCCGCAAAGGTCACACGTTGTCGAAGTGAATGCTGAAACTCGCACGGGCCTGTATGCACTACAAGCAATACAGAGGCACCAACAGCCAGACCTGCCGAGGCAAGGCCATCATCTCTGCATTGGTATGGAACCTAGGCCTCCTCCTGATGGGATTCATCAAGTCAAGGACTCACATCTGCCAATGTGCGACATAAGAATAATTTTAGGTGAAGGCCTAAATACTTTGGGACCTTGCAAACGGCCATGCAATGCACCGCATTGCATGCAAGAAGAAACATCTATCTTCTGTACAAAAATTGTGATGCCCAGAACGCGCACAATGACTCTTTAAACTCTGGCGCAAATGGGGCATCTTGTCTTGCCCTAAAGGGCCTGTACATCAGCTAATGCTTCTAAGGCCGGACAACCCGGCTGACCATCACAGCCTAGTGCCCGAAAAATACTTGCAGCATGTTTCGGCATCAAGCCATGCCGGGGTCAAGAATTTGCGAGGGAAGCACTTTCAGGAATCTTACGGCCGGCTGCGACAGCCACCCCATGCCCAGGACGGGTTGCAGACTCCTCGCTTAGCTTTGGCAAAGAGATGCAATTTCGAGCACTGAATTTGCAATCTCCTTTTCAGAAGAATGGTCAGAGGCGCATCAAGGCTCATCAAGGCACTCTGACATGGCCATGGCTGTGTCGCCAAGGGCCGCAGCTCTTGCTTGTGAGGATGCCCAGCGCTTAGGCCCAGTCTCAAATTTCCGACTGGCCCTGCTCCGGATCTTGACCTTCTGTCTGGGCTGCGTTGGCTGCCGGCAATGCGCCTGGCGCACAGCAGGCCAAGAGCAGAAAGAGGTATGGCAAGCTGATTGGCGCCAGTGAACTTGCATTCACCACGGCTATCAAACCAACCAGGTCATCTGTTGAGCTTGAGCTCAAGCTCTGCCATGCGTAGTAGAAGATAAACAAGAGAGCAAGAAGGCTGAGGCCGCATGCACTCAGCGGCCGAGATTGGCTCTGCAAACAATAGCTGTATGTAACAACGATCACAACTCCCGCCAACCAGCCAATGCTCACAGCAATCACAGCGGAGACAGCTATACTACAGCGTCGCTCCTCTCGAATCAACACGCGGCTGGTTAACGAAGCAACCGCTAAGGAGATGATCATCAGGGCCAATAAGTACATATGCTGACCCTGCGCCAAGCTTGCAGAGCTCACGCCCCAAAAGGCACCTCACGCCCATGAAATGAGGTCATCGTCACAGAGACAAACTAGCCAATTCTCAATTGATTCAACTGCATGGACTGCACCACAGAGCTAAATCAAGTACATGCCGAGGGCGCCCGCAGACATAGTCATGATGGCCAACGCAACGTAGTTCTTTGGATACCTTAGTGTCTTCATCTTGTGTAACAAACGCATTTCGCCTCATGCACTAAAGAGCTCATTGCAACTTTATGGGACTGAGACTTGTGACCACATTAAACCAACCCAACACCACCGTGTTCTTCGGCTTCGCTTTGCCTGTGCGAGGTGGTTTGTGCTATGTTATGAAAAGGGTCTACCGCGATCCAGCTGCTGGCTTCTGACCTTCCAAAGCAGAAGCATGAACAGCATCGTGAGAATGCAGAGCATGTAGTATGCGCTGAGTAAAATGGAGGAACCATTGGTAGGAAGCGGCATAACCTGGCACGAAGCTGCAGTCTTGGATAAGAGCTGCAAGTGAGGGTCGTCCATGCGGCGCAGTCAAAAGTCATGGTGGTTTAGGCTGGCCTCAAGCCTGCCTGCAAAACTTCATGCTGCAGCATGACCCGCACATAGAAGCGCTGATGTTTGAAGTGCTACACGAGTGGTAGCATGAACTTTCTTTTGGATCATGGGACCTTTATGATGCGGCGGTTGTCGCCCTCATCGTCCACTTGCACCTCTTCGCAGGCAGCTCACAAGCCGACAGCCGGGGCTTGCACAATGGCACATTAGTGCTTGCCTGGGCGTTTCCCAAAATCATGGGTGTTTTGGGGGTCCCCACAATAAGAATGATAGCATGTTGGGGTGCACATTGGGTCTTCATGGGTCTCCCTATTCAACTACTTACCACCTAGCTTCTGCACGTGCAACGCGTAGCCGCAGCACCTGATCCTTTACAAGAGAGTGAGCCACAAGCGCCAGCGCAAAGCATGCGGAGAGCTGCAAAGCACCTGCTATGCCAGTTGAAGACACACAATAATTCGCAAGACCCAAAACCTTTCTCGGAAAGAAAAAAATATCGTGCCGTTACCTTGCTACAGCAGATCTCTACCAGGGCACTAAGAGCAAAGAGTTTTGCAAGGAAGTCGCGCTGCACGTACAACCTCACGTTCGACACCCGCAACACAAAAATTCAGGTGCTGAAATGCCATGATAACAGTCCGAGGAGCGGGAGCTTGCAAGCAGGATGCGGCATGTGGGATAAGTCCAGACTGAGAGGCCCGTTTGAAGCCGGCTCGTCCTGAAGGCGAAAGAGTCTGTGGGCATGGATCTCTACGGCTGCAAGAGTGGTAAGCTAAAGCCCCAACATCGAATGTTGCGAGAGCTGTTCTTTTCAATCCCTGGCATTGGCTGACAGGCACGATCAGCAGCTCCTCACCCGGCAGCCTATTCGGCATTGCGAATGCAGCAGACTGCTCTGATGGTAGATGCTGCACATGCCTCGGCCAAGAGTTGCAAGTAGGCTCAGGGGGTTTCTAAACGGGTCTCCAGGAGCTTGCGCTGAAAAAAGGAGAGGCACAAGGATGGCGGAAGACTCAAACGGTCCTTCTTTTGCAGCCAAGCTGCGCTTCTTCTCGCATCTGGCAAAATGATGTAGGAGTAGCAGGCAGGTGGGATTGTACACTAACTGTGCAAGACTTGAGATAAGCCTGACACCAGGCACGTGTTCACAGATTGCATGCTGTACAGCATTTGCGAGTGCCACTATGCTACATATACTTTGGTAGTTTCCATGTTCTTTTCTATTATCCCTATATCCCCATATAACCCCAATATATACCGTATAAGCTACAGTAGCAGAGGGATCTCCTCGTGATGAGCGTATGCCGGTGTATGCCATTTCTAGGCCTTCGGTGGTAAGCTTAGATAATGGAAAAGAAAATGGAAACTACTATTTGGGGCTTTGAAGCCGAAAGAAAAGAAAGGGATGGGGATCTGGAGATGCTCTGCTTGACTCGTCCTTCGTGGGGCCTGGCTTTGTGGTTGAAATTCCGCCTCTCAATATCAGAGAGGGTCCCGCCGGCACGCACGGCAATTTTCGTCGGATTCGCGATGCCTTCCCCCCCCCCCGGCTGGGAGCAGTGGTCTTATAGTAGGTCACAAGGCCTACAAAATACAAAACATCTCAAAACCATTTAAAAAGCTTAGGGATCGTAGGTGGGCTGACAGGAACACGCAGCATCGCAATCAGCTGCAGCAAACCGGGCGGATGAAGCACAACACCTCCTCTCTCTATCTTTTCTGCGACTGCCAAAGCCAAATTCGCAGGAAGGAGTGTGTGCATGCTCTCGGGCTGGACTTCCTCTAATATACTAAATATACTGTGGCAGAAGTTGGTGGCCTGGCACCCGAGCAGAAAACTCAACATCATTGGGAGCACGGAAGCATGGCGCCGCACGTGGGTGAGGGGCGAGCAAGGCGTTCGCGTGTGGAGTTCCGCGCGGTGTTTCCCGGTGTGGGCTTCCTAGACTTCTCGAGCCTATGACTTGCCTGTTGCTAGACCTAGGTGCATGGTGGAGTGGGGGAAGCACGGGATTCTGGGCTGCGGCGCATACTTCCGTGGAAATGACAACTTTTCAAGAGAGCCAAAGCTTGAGAGCCTCGCTGGAGCTCTGGCTGTGCATGGTGCTAGACCTGTTTCAAAGAGGGCAAGGCATGTTGGATGGCTCGCCAGGCTCAATAACTAATACTGGGGTTTCAAAGCTCTTCAAAAATTGCTTTGCTGTACACGGAATATTCCATGACGGTTATGTAATGCTGTGAGCTTGGGAGCATTCGTGGCTTCCAGCCAAACTGACAAGCAGCATCATCTTTCGCACTGACATGAGAAGACAAGAAACCACATCTTAGCCCTTTGATCAATCATCTTCTCTACCTTTAGCTGGGGGGTCTGGTCTGAAGGCGTTTGCAGGGAAGGCCTTTCAATGCCTCGGCAAAGCATTATTTAGCAGCAGTGGTTGGTTGAAGTCCAACAACCGGTCGATATGTCCTTTTGGTCAAGTTTTCAAGTTCTGCATCACCTTACTAGTGCTTCGTAGGGACTACGGGAATATGGGAGTATGATGACTATATAAGCCCTATATGGTATGTTCCCTTCTTCCCTACTAACTCCCAGTCAGTCACTGCGTAAGAGGAAAGAAGTACTCATCCATAGGCTCCCTGAAAAACATTCACAGCACAAGCATTTTATGCCGGGTCTTAGCTGATGTTTACCTGTGAGAGTTGACGATACAGGAGCCATTGTCTGATCTCCTATTATCCCCCTTGAATCCCTTGATAACCCCTATAATACTCCTCTATATAATCCCCAACATAACCCCCTTTAGGGAGTTTAGACTATAGCTCACATTGGGCTTCCTGACTCCGTGATGGTTTGAAATTGGCCTGCTGAGAACTCGCGTGGACAAGTCTCACGTCTGAATCTGCTAGAACACCAGTTCAACACAATTATGGATCTGACCGGGAGGACTACATTCTGTCCGCTTTGTGTGATCTTTCTCTGCCAGAATGTGCCCATGCTGGGCCACTCCTGACACTTGTGCAGAGCTCACGACTCGGGCGCCCAGCCACCTCAGAACCCCTGGGAAGCAAATAGAGTATGGCCTTTGCAGCCATGCCTCCGGAAGAGCTGTGTCACTGCGCGCCAAGTGCATCTTGCAAAGGCAACTAGCCACTTGACGCTCTTTTTTCGGACTTGTCGAGCAGCCCTCGAACAAGTCCTTCATGCAACGTTGAGTCCAACGAGTCCCCTGTAGCCAAGCAATTCCCAAAGTGCCTACGACACCACCTGTTGCCGCCAATACTTGGGACTGGCATGATTTGGCGCCGTGCGCTGTCTTAAGCGCAAAATGGGTCCTGCTTGACGCTTCACATGGGCTTGACAAAGTTGAACGATAACGTGCACTGTACAACCCGGCCCATCCGGCCATTCTGGCATCCATCCAGGATAGGAGACTTCGGGACCCTGTAGCCACCACTGGCCTGGTTGGGCGCCACTCTTTGAAACATTTAAATTACAGTTAGTAGGGTGGTGTGAATTGCGAGGGTGCCTCAGACCCTGCGACTGTACACCGCATGCATTTGAAACCTGCCATCCCATGTCAACCTGTTGCAGGAGGCATCTGCTAGGTCCTGTCCAATCATTCCCCAGCCTCCTCCAACAAACCACAAGAGAGACATCGCAAGATTACAAAACTATACGCCGCACCATCATTACAGACCCATCCCATCTTCCGATCCCCGGTGCGGCAGCCAACAGACTGACAGAGAAGTCAAGGGTTGGCCGGACGCTCAGCTCGACTGGTAGCTGGCACCGCTGGTGCCGTGGGTTCGTGCTGCACCCACTGCAAAGCCTGGTATGTGCGTTCAGGATGTTCAAGCCTGCATTGTTAAACAAAGGAGGTGATATGAGCATATATGAACCGGTTGTGCTAGAACAAGGAGCAGAAGGTACGCAGCAGGCCAGGAGCAGGAGCAGGTATGGCAAACTTATGATTGCCATAATACTGGCGTCCATGCCGCCAACCAAACCAATGAGGTCATCTGTGGCACCATGGACCTAAGTGCCAACACCCTGAATCCTCACAAATGCTGAGCCTTGTCCTCAAAGCCTCAAGGGACTTGAGCTCTTGCAAAGTGCCGGCTGGGCCGTGGACCAGGGAGTGTAACATGTAGAGGAAGATGAAGAAAAGGGCCGCCATACTCAGCCCAGCCGCTGCCCAAGGCCGTGCTACTCCCCAGGAATCCAAAGCCAGCTCCGAGTAGATGTAGGCTAAAGCGAGTCCAAGTGTCCAACCAAAGCAGAGAGCGGCCAAAGCTGAACTCACCACATGTTGAAAACACTTCTCTTGATATCTGAGACACAGGCAAACCAGAGAGGCCACCCCCAATGTGACAACCATGTGTGCCAGGAAGAGCATGTGCTCTGCAAAGGCGAAGTGGGAGCTGCTAACCCCCCAGAAGCAGCCCATGGAGAGCGTGAGCAACGCCAAGGTGACATAGTTGCATGGATGCCTTAATCATCCCAACGACAGCCTCAAAGACTAAGAGCAGCTTTGGACCGATTAAGTAAGAAAACTTTCAGGAGCGCCTCAAGTCAGCAGCACTAGCTACTCCACAAAATAACACGCAGAGAGAAACGAGTTCCCACCGAAGCCACAAAACACGTGTTATAAAAACTCCAAGAACGCAACACCTTGATACACGGCTCAAAGTACCAAGAGTGGAAAGTAAGTATAGCTGGGAGTAAAAACCAACAAACACAAACAATAAGCAGCACTGCAGCAACATCATCAAATGATCGCATCTATCCGGGTCGCGAGCTTCGATAGTTCCAAAGGATCATGATGAGGACTAGGTTCAGGAGGCTCAGGCCCCAGTATCCTGGGTTGCTGTCTAGAATTCTGATTTAAGCTACTATATTGGGAAACCATATAAATTACTATGTATACCCATTATGGTAACTTAACTTAAGTTCCTTAACAGGAACCCAGCATCCTGCCACCAGCAAAGGTGGAGCACCCTCAGGCAGAGGTATCACCTGTCCGTGCTGTTGCTGCATCGTTTAAACTGCAACCCAATGTAATAGTTTCCATTTTCTTTTGCATTATCCCAATATATAACCCTAAACCCTATATAACCCCGATGTAGTAGTTTCCATTTTCTTCTCCATTATCCCAAATCAGGTCTGGCCTTGCCAACGGGCAAGTAGGGCTCATGATGCTCATGGCCGCCGGAAGCAGGAGGCGCGCTCTGGCAGGGGGGTATGCAGCTTCAGTCAACTGCACGACCGTTTTAACACGTGGCTTCTGGACATGCACATGCCGGAGAGCCTCAGCCGACTCATCCAGGTCCAGCAGGAACGAGTGGACAACTCCTGCAATGACGAGGCAGACTGCCAGCTGTAGCGCGCAGAGGCCAAACATCTTCACCAAGGAGTCGCGCTGCACGTACAACCTGGGTAGTCGTGAACTCTTCCAGTAAAACGTTGCAGACGTGTTCGCCCTGCGCCACTTAAGGGGCAAGTGGAGGCCAGCGAAAGCTAGCCTGGTCTGCAGTACGTCAGCAATAAAAGGAGGAAGGGGGATACATGCAACCACCTGGCATGATGTTCTCTGCAGCATGACCATGCTAAAGTACAGGGAGTAGGGCAGGAAAGCCATGAGCACCACAGCAAGAGTAGACAGGTTTGATATAACGACCAAAGGTTATGTTGTTCATAGCATTGCAGCACGACAGAAGGGGGAGGGAGGTTTGACCCAACCATGTAAAGCGCAGGTAAGTTTGCCCGCTCATCAGCGAATATGTGAGTATATGCATAGTCCCTTCGTTCGTAAGCACTGACATATTAAAGCCGGCTGCCCCCTGAAGGCTGCAGCTCCAGCGCAAGATATGAAAGAACCCGGTTCGACCCTCCCCCGCTCAACAAAGAGATGATTTCTGTGAAGAATCAATCACGCCCCCCCAACCTGCGATGAGATCAACAGCTCGCTGCTTGCCAAACATTGTCTGCCTTCTCGATTGCTATGCAATCTTCATGCCACTACCAGCCCTGTCTCAAGACAAGTTGCGGGAACTCGCATGCCGCCTTCGGCATTCGCCATTCAGAGTGGGTGGACATTGGGGTACTTGCCTGCAACATGCAACGGGCTTGAACTCAATTCGCATCGTCAACGTGGAGCCCTCCCTGATTGAAACCAGGAAAGTCTCTGGTCAATTGAAGCCGCTGACCGGCAAGTAGCTCCAACCAACACACATGATCCTCCCCCCCTAGTATTAAACCCTCCCTCCACCCCTAATATTACATATGCCCAACATACTACACAATATACTGCAATGGGGTGTATATCAGTATTTAATAGCAGGAGGTGTAATATAACACCCTAAACCCTAAAACCCTAAATCCTGAACAGGAGGTGTAATATAACATTAGAGGCAGGGGATTAGCCATGCTCCCCCCAGACCTGGCTCCCTAGCTCCAGGTCAACATCGGTCGGCTCTTCTGCGGATGGAGTTGGGGCATCCTGCCTTAGTTTAAACTCCTAGCATCCCTCTTAATAAGCCCTATAATACTCCCCTATATGGGGGTTCCCCAAATTAGGGTACCATTTTTGGGGGTTCCCATAAAAAAGGACTATAGTATTTTGGGGTGCATATTGGGGTCTCCCTATTTTGGGAAATTACCATATAACCCCGTTTAAGGAGTTTAGACTATGGCTCAGATCGTCAACAGATCGAAGGCATCAAAGACACAGCTAGATCAATGCAAGCTGCTGCGATGATCAGATTCTAGTCAGACTCCTACAGAAGCCTACACCCCAAACCCGAAAACCTAAATAGAAGTGTCCATTTTATTTTCCATTATCCCAATACAATCCCAATATAACCCTAATATTACCCCAATGGGTTAAACTATCCATAGGTTCAAGCCTCGGTGCAATTCCACCATTGCATCTAGGAATCTAGGCACGAGGTCCCCCTACTAAAGCCTTGCAAGCCGAAAAAGCACAGACGTTTCGCAGGGATTTCAGATGTCGTGCTGGCATACCCGAACTGCTACATTGCACCTACTGGGCTGGCGACTGAAGATTCAGCAAGGGGTCGTGTTGCCCCAGAAAACGGAATCCCAAAGGGAGCAAGCAAGACCTTCTGCTGCAACAGCGCAGGTCCCCAGGCAAAGGGCGCGCGTAATACAGAAGCAGCACCGCATCCCGCTCCTGCCAGTCCTTGTCATCACCTCCCATCCTTGAGAGAACAAAAGACGATACAGCGCTCCAAAGCACTGTGAGCAACGTGGACTAGCTTGTCTCAGGCGCTCTTAAACTCTTGAACTGATTCTGCGTCAAAGCTTCGAGGGTAGCCGATGCGCGACCTCCTCAGCAGCTGCCCGAAAAAACATTGGACCTGAGCTTCTTGAATCTGCAGGAGCCTTCCTGAATTGAGTGCCACGCAGTACCCTGGCGCCACACACCCCACGCAGCCAGGCAGCTGAGGTTGAGGGTCGCCCCCGCTGCGGCGATTATTCGAAGCTCCTGACCAAATCCAAAACACTTGGGGGCTTGGGATTTTCTAGGTAGGTCTGATGCTTGAGCTTTAATCCAGGGAATGCCCCTACAAGGCTAGTTTGGCGGTGTACAACCGTGTCATAATCTCAGTGGCAACACCTTGTTCAAACAGGCCGAATACAAACCAAACAGAGCAAAGTAAGGGACCCCGGTGAATACAATGAATAGATGAATATGAAGTCACTGGCAACGCTGAGCCGGGGAGTTGTAAGTATGTACAAAGCCCGATCTGCCAAAAAGAGATGTAGCAGAACAGAAAGGAACCCTCCTTCGGGCCTCGTGGGTGCATCTTCCGAAGCATTGCAAAGCATGCTTTTCCAACTGATTGGCGACTCCCGGACCAGACACGCCAAGGTAAGCCTGAATCAGATTGCAGCAACTGGTCGGAGTTAAAGCATGAACAAGGGCACAAAAACACATGGGGGTTTCCCAACATTCGGGGTACCTTTTTGGAGGTCCCTATACTAGGGACTCTAAAATTGTGTGTCTATATTGGGGTCCCCTATTTTGGGAAACTACCATACACCCTATCATATTACAGTAGTTTCAATTTGCTTTTCCATTACAGGATACTATAGTAGTTTCCATTTTCTGTTCCATTATCCCAATATAACCCCAATATATACCCCATTATATTCAGCACGAAGCCCAACCATAATATTCAACCCCAAGGTTGCTCTGCCCCTTTGCTTTGCGCCGCGGCACGGCAGCCCAAGCAAAAGTTGCCACCTCCACAGACACGCGGCACAAAACGACACTCCCAACAGCGTTCTGCGAGTTTCCGTGCTCACGTGCCCAAGGCACATGCCCTGATTCCAATTTTCTGTACTGTTGCAAAATCAATGTTGTTCAACAAGTCCCAAATAAACAATGACATTAGTCAGCTCAGCAGAAATAAATTGCAAGCATAATGCTCTCACAACGATCTGTTCGAGCGTTTGTTCCAACCCTCGACATAAGCCACACGCATGCGCATGCTTCTTGAACTGCCCTACGAAATGAAAGCAAGCCTTCGCTCGACCTTTGATGGCCTTTGAGCTTCAGTTTTCCAAGAGGTGGGGTACCAACTACATTCTGTCATATTGAAAGGTGGGGTTGCACAAGAGCCCCGTTACTCTTGTCGCTTGACCCAAGATGGTGTTATCCTTTTACGTGCCTCTTACTTGTGTTTCCCAAGTGTTGGACCCTGACGTTTCTGTGATGGCTCTGTTTTCCTCACATTGTACACTTCGCGGCGCGCCACGACATAATCCTCTGCACGGGGTTATTATACAACCCCAGGTCAAAATAAGGCAAATTTCCCAACCTAACCCTCCCACCTCTGAATTGATCTGCGGTGGAGAAGTGGGGCCAATTTGGAAAATGTCAGAGCATCCTCATTTGGTAGTTTTCATATCTTAAAAGCTGGCGTCCCTTGTGGTCTGCGCCCGCAGCGGGGCAACAGGCAACTGAGTCCGCAGGAGAGGGAGGGAGACAAGGCATATATCCCGGTGATAGCTCTAAACATCTTGAACATAACCCTGTATAAAGACTTATAACCCCTAGAGCCACTTTTCTCTGTGCCTCAGTTGCTGCCAGCGTATGATGGGCAGCATGGACGAGAGCCGTGGCGGCTCCGAGACATCTGTGACCTGGGAGAAAGTGCAAAAAGCGCAAGTGCTCGCTGCCAATCATGCTTGACTCTAGGTTCTTCGGAGGCTGCAGCAAGGCTGGCATGACCTCCTGATCTGATGACAAGAGCACGGCAAGACCTACAAAGAACAGCAGCGGTGAGTCATTTGCTCCAGGAAAGAACCTGATCAAGAACGGAATGCAACAAAGACAAAGAATGGAGGATGATAAGCAGAAGACAACAACCAGAAGTGTACGGCGCAAGCATGTAGCAAAGCAGTAGAATCACGGCCAGCGCCCGCAAATTCCGACAATCATCAGCACGACAGACATAGTTCAACAGGAGCAGGAATGGATGGGACATACCTTGCAGAATGCATGAGAATCCTATGCGGGGTCACTTCTAACTGCATCGGTTTGGACCAGCATCAGCAAGGCCGGGTGGCAAAGGAAAAATACTCAAGCGAGGCACCAATCTTTGCCAAACCCCACGGAAAGAAGGTCGGAGACCACAGCGAATTCATTGGATCAAAACCTGTCCAGCTGTGGTGCTGCAATGCTTACGCACCCAAGGTGCCAGGATCTAGCTGCGGCTAGCTTGAACTGGGCTTCGCAGGCTTCACGAACAAATGAAAATACAATGCAGGACCTCAGCAATTGAAGTTGAAGATTGCGTCTTCACCCTTCTAACAGAACCCTGCAGATTCTGGCAGGAGGCGCAAAAGGAGATCCAGCACTTGCCGCCATGAATTCATGCCAGCCGAGCAGATGAAGGAACCAAAGCCTTGGGCTTTGTAAAGTTTGCGTGCCCTGCATTTCTGTCTGTGGGGCGCAGCCAGACCATGGGCCCTTTGCAATTCTATCTCCAAGATGTCTCCTGCCTTCTGGCAAAGATCCTCGCAACTCCCTCATCATCATCACCATCATCAGGCTCAACTTCAACTTGGTCAGCACCCTACTCCATGCAGGAAAGATGCTCATCTCATCTGGAACCAATGACTCCTCGGACATGCGAAGAACCCATCCCAGGGCCCTTAACCACTGCTCACTCTTGGAGCAGGCAGTGATGCCAGCATTGCAGCCTCGCAGGCAACAAGGTTCTAGAGCAGGCTGGCAACTTGCGCAGTCTTGCCAGGTAAACACGAGCAACTTCAATGTTCAACCGCATGCGCTCTCTAACTAACTTATAACTGGCCTTGGGCTCTGAGGCTCATCCTGTTGCAACGCATCAGCCCCAGCAGCCTGAGCAATCTGAAACAGGGCTTCGCTGTATGTAAGGGC